CCTCGTCGGGCATTATCCCTTACATAAACCAATATAAAGTCAGTAACTTACTTGGTTAGGTTAGGAACCTACAATATTATGTACAGAAAACCCAACAAATCCAAAGATTCTCTATGAGACTTGGTTAGATTAAATTTTAGTGTTATTACACAGAGTACACTTATTAAGCAAATGCAGTTCAGCATCTAATCATAAGTGCAAAAGAAGCAGTAAAATTGCATTATGCGTGGTATGGGTGTCCACAGCACGATACAGTATAAACAGTAGGAACAAAATGATATGATCATTTCAAGTATATAAATAGAACAAGTTGTAGGTGACAATGTAGAAATAGATAAATGTACATATAAAGATAAGAATAAATGGTGTCATGACTAAACAGTGTAAGATATATGTACTTATTTTGATGTAGTTATATATCTATTTAGTTTTTAGCTGTTGTTCAGAATCCCTTGTTTATTTTTTGATGAATGCAGATTTATTTTTCCTCCTAAAATCTGTGTGACAAGAGAGACAACACAACAAACTAACACATCTTTGCATAGGAGGATTTAACAGACTATACATCCACTGTTCTGTTTTATATTAAAACGTGCATGGATAATGTCACAATGGAGAAGAAGCTCAGACATTATCCAAATAAAAAACAGTGGATGAACAGTGAGATGAAAGTGCTGCTGAGGAATTGGCACTCTGCTTTCAGGTCTGGAGATATCTAGCTATATAGCTCAGCCAGATCCAACCTGAAAAAAGACATTAAGTGGGCGAAGGCAGCATATGCAAGGAAGATCGAGGGGCACTTCAAGGATGGGAACCCCCGATGTGTTTGGTAGGGCATCTGTGGCCTTGTTCACATAAGCAGCTCCAATGCTCCCATCAGCAGCACCAGCACAAACCTAACATAGGAGTTCAATCAGTTCTTTGCTAGGTTTGAAGTAAGGGAGGAGGAGGGTGCCCCTACGCTGGTACCTGCTGACAACCTGACCCTCACTGTGAGCACAGAGGAGGTCAGCAGGGTGCTCTGGAGCGTGAACTCGTTGAAGACTGCTGGTCCCGATGGTATCCAGGGGAGGGTACTCAGGGCCTGTGCAAACCAGCAGGCAGAGGCAGAAAGCACAGTCATAACCATGAGGTGTTAAGTGCAATTGTAACTTTTGACCACTGGGGGGGGGGGCTGCGTGATTATTTTCTCAGTCGACCTCCCTCTTGTTTTCCACTTTTCTTTGTTGGGTAATTCACATGTGGTCAGTATGCCTTGGTTTTCTGTCAGAAGAGAGATTTATGTGTTCCAAGAAATGCGACGCATCTTCAGGAAGAAAATTCAAGTTACCCTTCCCTGTTGTATACATGTGGACAAGGTGGTCAAGATTGTTTTGCTGTTTACATTAAATATTGAAATGGACTATTACTGTGAGTTAAAGCAGGCTTATTGTATTTTGAGGGTGTAAGAGTTTTCCAAGAAAAGCAGTCATTCACGCTAAGCCCTCCCCTTGCAAGCAGACAAAGTGGTTAGTTTATATTTCTTTATTTACAATATTAGAGCCATGTATTTTATAAAAGATGCAATAATGTGAGAATTAATGTATTTTTAAAAATTATTTTTCTGTAATGCAGTTCTTCAGTGCTATGGAGTAAACATCAGTGCAAAGAACCTTAAGACTCATGTGTGATCAATGGGCGGCACAGTCATAATAATTGATCAGATTTATATAGCGCTTTTCTAGACACTTCAAGACGCTTTACATCGTCATTTATTCATTCACATACATTCATTCCAGTGGTGGTAGCTATGATTGTAGCCACAGCTGCCCTGGAGCAGACTGACAGAGGCGTGGCTGCCATTCTGCGCCTACGGCCCCTCCGACCACTACCTCAGACAATCCATTCATACGCATTCATACACCAGGCAAGGCAGATGAAGTCTCTTACAGGGCGGAATCAAACCGCCGACCTTCCAATCAATGACCAACTCGCTCTATCATGTGAGCCACAGCCGCCCACGAAGTAGAACACTCCCCTGTGTTGGTAAAGGCTGAAGATGTAGGACTACACTGCGTTGCTATGGGCTCCATGATGACAACTAAAGGCTTGGCACTGGTAGCGTGTGTCTGCAGAGCCAGAGGCTGCACTCTCAGGGCCGCAGCTTCTTCTACAGCCGCATGTTGAGAGCCTTTTTTTCAAGGCAGCGCCAACAACCACAATGAATGATTGCCAAAATGTGCGACTTTGTTCTAAAGAACGATTTTTTTCTCAAAATATATTCAGAATTTAAAAGGTTGATCCAAGGACGATTCCACACAAAGAACGACTTCATGTCCAAGTACCTACAATTTTAAAGGTCTTCCCCATCCAACTAGTGCTTTTCAACTGACAAGTTAAGGTTTGAAAGGTTTATTCCACCCAAAACACTACTTATTAAAATGATAATAACTTGGGTGCTAAGACTTGCATTTGGGCAAAAGGTGTAATTAACATAATGGACTTTACTGCTGTGGCCTCTGTGGTCTGTAGATCCCAAATAGGACAGTTTGAAAGGTTGAAAAGAGACGAAACACAAGGACAACTCTGAAGGCAGAATTATATATTTATTTACTTTATACAATTATTACATTGATTGTATAATTCTTATTCTCTGTGACATCCCCTAACATGATAGCAAAGAAATCTAGCTCGAAGTGTAGACTGATGACAGAGCACCACTCTTGAACTTCCCACCAAAAAGCAGACACAACATGACAATACCAAAACAAGTGAACGGTTGATTCAGCCTCCACTCCACAAAATCTGCATTCGTCTGTCTCACTAATATCCCAGATCTTAATCATTTTCTTTGTAGCTAGAAAATTGTATATGACTTTTAGTTGGAAATATCTGGTAAAAGCATCAATTTTTGTTTTATATATCAAACCAAAAAACTGATTCCATGGTATAGGGTAGTCAAAAATGTCCTCCCATTTATTGTATGTACTGTTAGGAATGGCAATCAGGGATTGATGTCTTAAGTAAAAGTTGGAAATACTTTGCTTTATCTTGCTGTTTTGAAGTTATCCAAGATTTTTAATAGATGGCTGACATACGAGCAGGTTATAGTTCCACTGTTTATTTTTCATTTCCATTGCTTTTTTATGGCGGAGGTCAGTTGGTTAAATAATTGGAGACAGCAAATTAATCCATATCTTTCAGTAAACTGATTATACCTCATTAATTTCCCTTCTTCATTAACATTATTTATAAACCAGACCCCGTGATCAAACAGGTTCTTCCAAAAAAAAAAAAAAAAAGGTTTTCCTTCACTTATATTAGAATAAAGACTGTTGTAAAATTTTCTCTCTGGTTTCTGGAGGGTAGAACTGGAAACATAACCAACTCCAAATTCCCTCTTTTAAAAACAGATGAGTTTCCAAGTATATTATCTATTAAGCCAAAGTGCTGTGGTTCAAATAGCAAATGAGGAGAAAACCTTTTTTCAAACACAAGATGGCTACATTCCAGTAACCTAGCGGAGAACCAGTCAGTGTTCAAGTACAGCTTTTGAACAATAACAGCTTTTAATGTAAGACACAATGCTGACAGATGTAATAGCTTTAACTCACCCTTGTCATAATCGCTATGAGATATGACACTTCTTTTAATGTTTTTCAGGTTTGTTACTCCAAAGGAAGCCAAAAATCTTTTGTTCAAATGACTTGTAAAAGGACTGAGTCGGAAACGACATAAAGAGATATGTAAAGTGTGATACTACCAGTGAGTTAACAAGAGATATCTTTCCATAGAGAGTCAGCAAGGCAAAGACGTTTATTCCTTTCAACCAAAGGTCCAAGTCTCCTTCCTGCCACCACCACCACCACCATTAAACCCTTTAAGTCCACGCTTTCCTCCTCCTCAACCAGTAGCACTCTCCTAAGCTTTTCTTGCCCAACAAGCTACACCCACTCAAATACATATTCCACACTTTACTTCTTAGTTTTCAGTGTGTTGAGTTTCATTTAGATTTTAATCAACTAAACATTTCCATTGCATCATAAATCACTTCAACAATATGCTGCTCATTTAGTCTTTGAACTGACTTGGTTTCTGTGGTTCAAAGTTTAAATACTGCAAATATTCAGGGAAATGTATGTTATTATTATTGTAGACCTCTAACTGTAATATTTAAACTTGGGTGAGTCATTTTTCTACTAGAAAGCACTTTGACTGAGCAGCTGTGGTTTTAAATGAGCTGTATAGATAACTGTGACTTGACCAGACGCTGAGATCTGATCAACAAATCCCACAGATGACGTATGCGGCGATCAATTAGGAATCAAAGTCTTTGTCAAAACAGCAGAAACTGCCATGGTTTCTGTTTTGATCTTTTGCTGGTGTGTATGTGGTATTTTGTTAATAAAGAAATCTGATTGATGATGTGCATTTTCAATTTTAAGTTTGACATCACTGGCTAAACTTTGTCACAATGCTGCGTATGTGAAAAATTTCATTCTAAGTATTTCTGGAAAATAGTGAATAATATATATGTAACTGGTAGCTATACCTACTGCGTTGTGTTACACCAGCCAAAACATGGATCTATGAGAGGCGATCTCTGTTTATTTCTTACCAGATGACAAAAAAACACTCATAGCCCTTCAGAAATAAAACACACAAACATATTAACATGGGAAAGTAAAACTTAGAGGTGGAATTATGCTACGTTAGAAAACACAAAAACAGCAGCAGTCTTGCTTACCCCTCCCACAGAACATATGAACAAACGGGGAAAAGGGGAGAGGCATCACAGCCTGGGGAGATTTAAATCAGCAAAGGTGGTTTCTGCTTGGGGAATTTGCTGCTATGTATGTGACATTTTGCTTATGGAGAAATTAGTAGGGCTGGACCGAATTGTGATTTCCGATATTCAGATATTTGTGTCCATTTAATGGCAAATATCCAAATTCCCCATTAAATGGCGGATTTAATAATTGTTGAAGCACAGTCTGAAGGTGCTTTAAAAGTTTTAACCTGTTTAAATATTTTTTCCACAGATGCTTCAGGATGACGGCTTCTCACCTGTGTGAGTTCTCATGTGGACTTTCAGACTACTTCCTCCACTGAAATTTTCTCCGCAGGTTTGACAAGAATACAGATTTTCCTCTTTGTGGATTGCTGTGTGTTTGTTATGTGCTGATTTGTCAGAAAATCTTTTTCCACATGTGTTACAAACGTACGGCTTCTCACCTGTGTGAGTTCTCATGTGAAGCGCCAAGTTATCCTGACGACAGAATCTTTTCCCACATATTCCACAAGAATATGGCTTTTCCTCTTTGTGGATTACTGTGTGCCTTTTATGTGCTGATGTGTCGGAAAATCTCTTTCCACAGGTTTTACAAGAGAACGGCTTCTCACCTGTGTGAGTTCTCATGTGAAGCACCAAGCTATCATGACGACAGAAATTTTTGCCACATGTTGTACAAGAATATGGCTTTTCCTCTTTGTGGATTGCTGTGTGCCTGTTATGTGTTGATATGTCAGAAAATCTTTTTCCGCAGGTTTTACAAATGTACGGCTTCTCACCTGTGTGAGTTCTCATGTGGACTTTTAGCTGAGCTCTTTCGCTGAAACGTTTCTCACACGCCTTACAAGCAAACAGCTTCACATCTGTATGACTGCTGTAATGTTTCTTCAAGCTGTACCTATTTTTAAAGGCTTTTCCACAGAACTCACATGTTGAAGTCTTTTTTCCTGTGTTTTTCCCTGTACAGTGACTCTCAGCCATGGGAGTGTTGTCTACACTGTTACTGTGACTGCTGTTTCTGTGATGTGTCTTCATTGGCTTCAGCTTTGCATTTGTAGTTGGTTCTAAGTCTGCATGCTTGCTTCTTTCCTGATCTGACCTCTCAGCTACAAAAAAGTTGTGACAGAGGATCTGGTTATTGTCTGGTTCTGTGTCACTGTGGTCCCTTTCCTTACAAGTAGGAGTTGCTATAAAGGTATCACTCCCCTGATTCTGCATAAGCAGCTCTCCTTCAAGACTGGTGCAGAGTTCCTCTTGTTCCTCTTTAATCTGTGGAGGCTCTGGGCCCTCCTGGTCCAGACTGGTGCAGAGTTCCTCTTGTTCCTCTTTAATCTGTGGAGGCTCTGGGCCCTCCTGGTCCAGACTGGTGCAGAATTCCTCTTGTTCCTCTTTAATCTGAGGAGGCTCTGGGTCCTCCTGTTCCTCTTTAATCTGTAGATGGTCTGGATCCTTCTGGTGCAGACCAGAGTTCTTCTCCTGATTACGAAGCAGGTCAGCAGGAGCCTCCTCCTCCTGATAGACATAGTGCAGTGGGAGTTCTGGGGACAAAGGGACACAAGAAAATGGTTACTGATGTGATGAAAGGCAAACACACATTTGCCAGAATAGGAACTTCACAAAACAACTAAAACGTTGCTGAGAGGCTGAGGTAGGACCTGGTTTATCTCGTATGACAGGCTACCAATTTTACCAATAACTCAAAAAGGTCATCTTTGATATTATTCTATATTCATTACATGTAAAGTAAAACATGTCAAGTTTTCTTTTGTTTGAATTTTGATTATTTTGGCTTATAGCTTATGAAATTCAGAAATCCAGTTGTTTGTTTTTAAAATAGGAGAATAACTCATTTCGATTTTTTTTAAAATTACTATACAAACAGTATAAAAACCATGTATCTCTTGGTCTAGTTCAGTACATGCAACCACAATCATGGGAAAGACTGCTGACTGGAAAGCTGTCCAGAAGATGAGCATCAAAACCCTCAACAAAGAGGACTGACCCCAGAAGTTAATTGCTGAAAACTAAATTAACTGTTCCAAAGCATGGTAATGGACAGCTGACTGGAAAAGGGAAAGTGTGCTATGAAAAGGTGCACAAGCATGACTGCAGCCTGAAGAGGATTGTCAAAAAAAAAGTTGACTCAAGAACTTGGGAGAGGTTCACAAGGAGTGAACTGGTGCTGGTGTGCAACAAGAGCCACGAAGCACAGGGGTCTTCAGGAAAGGAGCTAAACTGTTGCATTTCTGACATCAAGCCGCTTCTGAACCAGAGACAATGTCAGAAGTGTCTTACCTGGGTGGAGGACAAAAAGAATTAGACTGTTGCTCAGTGGTCCAGAATCCTCGTTTCGGGTGAAAGTCAAGTTTAAATCACAGATCTAAAAAAGCAAATCATTGACTTGAAGAAGTCAGGAAAGTCATTTTGTGCCATTTCAAAGCAGCTGTAGATCCCAAAGTCCTCTGTGCAAACAGTTTTTGTAAGTATGAAACGCATGGCACAGTTGTGTCACTGCCACCATCAAGAAAAAAAAAATCACCTGCTGCTGAGATTAAAACGCAGGTCTACAATGAATTAGAAGATGCTGGAACACATGTGTCAGTGTCCACAGTCAAGTGTATTTTACATCAGCATGGGCTGAGAGGCTGCCATGTTGGAAAGAAGCCCTCCCTCCAGAATGGCTCCTTAAAGCTCAGCTCAAGTTTGTTGCTGATCACGTGGACAAAGAAACTTCTTATAGAAAATTAAGAGTTACAGGAGTCATAGGGAACTCAAAACTGTCATGACACACATGTTCTTTACAACGCAGCCTTGTGCCCTGAAGACAGCATTGTTGCTCGTTGCTTTGCTAGTTAGCCCCGTTAGCATGTCCACCGGAAGTCTGACTAGTCTTTGTTAGCTCCTAAGTACAAGAGAAGTTTCTCCGCTGGCCA